TTGACAATGATTGTACAAGGATAACAACTAAAGTTCTTAAGAATCTTGTCTACCANCTGATCCTTGGTCAAACCTCTTGACAATAATTGTACAAGGATAACAACTAAAGTTCTTAAGAATCTTGTCTACCAGCTGATCCTTGGTCAAACCTCTTGACAATGATTGTACAAGGATAACAACTAAAGTTCTTAAGAATCTTGTCTACCAGTTGGTCCTTGGTCAAACCTCTTGACAATAATTGTACAAGGATAACAACTAAAGTTCTTAAGAATCTTGTCTACCAGTTGGTCCTTGGTCAAACCTCTTGACAATAATTGTACAAGGATAACAACTAAAGTTCTTAAGAATCTTGTCTACCAGCTGATCCTTGGTCAAACCTCTTGACAATGATTTTACAGGGATAACAACTAAAGTTCTTAAGAATCTTGTCTACCAGTTGGTTCTTGGCTCAAACCTCTTGACAATGATTGTACAGGGATAACAACTAAAGTTCTTAAGAATCTTGTCTACCAGCTGATCCTTGGTCAAACCTCTTGACAATGATTTTACAAGGATAACAACTAAAGTTCTTAAGAATCTTGTCTACCAGCTGATCCTTGGTCAAACCTCTTGACAATGATTTTACAAGGATAACAACTAAAGTTCTTAAGAATCTTGTCTACCAGCTGATCCTTGGTCAAACCTCTTGACAATGATTTTACAAGGATAACAACTAAAGTTCTTAAGAATCTTGTCTACCAGTTGATCCTTGGTCAAATCTCTTGACAATGATTTTACAGGGATAACAACTAAAGTTCTTAAGAATCTTGTCTACCAGCTGATCCTTGGTCAAACCTCTTGACAATGATTTTACAAGGATAACAACTAAAGTTCTTAAGAATCTTGTCTACCAGCTGATCCTTGGTCAAACCTCTTGACAATGATTTTACAAGGATAACAACTAAAGTTCTTAAGAATCTTGTCTACCAGCTGGTCCTTGGTCAAACCTCTTGACAATGATTTTACAAGTGATAACAACTAAAGTTCTTAAGAATCTTGTCTACCAGCTGATCCTTGGTCAAACCTCTTGACAATGATTGTACAAGGATAACAACCAAAGTTCTTAAGAATCTTGTCTACCAGCTGATCCTTGGTCAAACCTCTTGACAATGATTGTACAAGGATAACAACCAAAGTTCTTAAGAATCTTGTCTACCAGCTGGTCCTTGGTCAAACCTCTTGACAATGATTTTACAGGGATAACAACAAGTTCTTAGTTGTCTTGGTGACAACTGACAACTCAAATCTATACTGAAACACATTTTTCTAAACTTATTGTGTATTTATTTGTGTTGAGTTGTCCTGAATATAATTGTATATCTGAAACATATGTTTCTTCAGTAAGACATAGAGCTGTAGTTAAAATGAAATTAAACTTACTTATTCATACATTTGACGAGAATTTCTGAGACCAAGGCATCGATTAATATAACATCTAGAAATTGTTGAGGTGGTGATGATTTCAATAACTCCATCATTCTTTTACAAGTCATCGGAAACAATTCAGCATTGTCCTACAAAAAACATATTTCTAAAATCAGACCGTGTGTCCTCGAAACGATCTTACTGCTAGGATATCCTAGAGCTTTCCAGGATGTCTTAGAGTTATGAATTCTTACACTGTTTCTGGGATATCTTAGGGTTTTGAATTCTTACACTGTTTCTGGGATATCCTAGGGTTTTTCCAGGATATCCTAGGGTTTTGAATTCTTACACTGTTTCTGTGATATTCTAGGGCTTTTCCAGGATCTCCTAGAGGTTTTGAATTCTTACACTGTTTCTGGGATATCCTAGGGTTTTGAATTCTTACACTGTTTCTAAGATATCTTAGCACTAAGATCGTTTCGTATTGTAGGTAGAGAGTATGACCTGCATGCTCACCTTTTTGAGAAAAATATACTAAAAAATATTTTTGTAAAATAGGAATTCGGTTTTGTTTCTGAAAAAGAATTTCTGTCAAGAGATGAAAGAATAATAACATACTAGAATACCATTGTCGTCTTCATCAACTTTAAAAAAATAATATCCGATTTCAGAGACTATTTTCTTGCCGTTTTTATCCGGTTTCTTCTTAACTAATACCATGACTAAATCCATCAGTTTATTGTAATACATTTGGAAATCACCAGATTCTCTGTAACAAATCAACATACCAAAATAAACATACCAAATAAACATACCAAAATAAATATACCAACATAAATATACCAAATAATACTAAATAAACATACCAATATAATACCAAAAAATATACTAAATAATACTAAATAAACATACCAAATAATACTAAATAAATATACCAAATAATACCAAATAAACATACCAAATAAACATACCAAATAAA